ATATATATATATATTTATAAAAAGGGACCCCTCATGAGTGTCCCAGTTGACCTCATGGCCTTTTAACTATTAGACTCAAATCTGCATTGAATTGTTATGGGACAAAGTGCGTTTCTTTTCCACTAAATACGGGAAAGGTACTTCTATTTATAAATATGGAACAATTCTGTTTTTCAAGGGACGGTTAGCAACCATATGCTCAGGTGAATAAAAATATGGGCTTTTAGTGTGTTTTGTTTAACTAGATGAGTTCCGGAAATGTAACATAAACCAAGCTAATCAACAACATAAAATTAAACAGAATGATCGGGAAAAAATCCTTCTAAGGCGCTAATCTTGTTCTGTGGTTGTCCAGGGATCAACAAGGGTTCATTTAAAAATGTTTTCACAACTGATTGTTGACCTGTAGTTTATATCTTTAGATAGGTATTGTAAGTTGAGTTATAAGTTGTTTAAGGTCTACTTTTCTACCACTCAGTTTGAATATATGAAAGTTCCTCATAAAATAATAAGAGGCAGGAAAAGGAAAACTGAATGAATCAAGATCTGCATGATCTGAGAATGATTGAGGAATAGAGATAAATACATGTTAAATGTTCATTTATTATATTGTTACCTGTAGCTCCAAATATTGTGGTGATTAGCCTTTCTAGTATTTAATCAGGTGAGATAATATCAATGATAATAATCACCATCATTATAATATTCATAATATGTATTATGCGATTATATGTGTTTGGAAGGGATTTTGATCGTATTATGTTTGTTTTAGATAAGTGTAAGATTGAAAGAAGAGGAAGAAGATTAGAAGACTGATAGAAAATATATGAATATAAATAAAATATGAGTAAATGGATGAAAGCGTCACGATCCCTGTTTCCTATTTTAGTTTTGATTATATGTATTTATTGTTATCTACGAGCTAGAAATGTCCCCAGATTGGATTTCACAAATCTGGTCACCTGAAACTAATGATGGATCTGTTTAACAGACTTTCTAATGTTTTCTTTCAAGAGATCTGACTCTGTCACTAGAACTACTATGGAGGGGTCAATTGTCCTTTTTACCTAAAAGCCCTACAAGAGGGTCATTTGACCTTTGGACATCCTGCGGACACTCCTTTTGTTGTGGAAATTTAGCTGTTAGCAGCTCATAGCTGTCACAGAGTCGCTTGAGCCTGTGTGGGGAAGGGAACCCTAAGGCAAGCTTTTAGTATAGTTTTTAGTGGATTTTCCCGGGTCAATTGACCCCTCTCTGGTAGTTCAAGGTAGGCAGAAAAATCCTGGTAGTTCTAGTGTTAAACAGAGTCAGATCTCTTGAAAGAAAACATTAGAAAGTCTCTTAAGAGATAACCAACAGTATCAAAAGGCCTGGCTTTTTTTTAAAGGCTCTTTTAATTTTTTCCAAGTACAACCACTTTCACTAACTCATGATAAACAGTCATGGTGGTACCATGTTTACAGAGAAAATAACCAATCATTAATGCATATTTTTATAAATATATTATATTGGGATAATATAGGGGGTTGTAGGGGATAATATAGGGGGTTGTAGCCCCCGTATTCCTCCCCTGATAATAACGCTTGTGCTTAATTTTATGATTGTAACAGAACTGCTGTCATGGGAAGACTTGGAGATGCTAGCAGAGCTGTCTCAGTGTCCAAATGAGACAAATCCAGTCATCTGTGACGGAGGTCATCACAGCAAATACCGCACCGCATCAGGAGTCTGTAACAACAGGTAGAAAGACTGAGAGATTTAGCTTTGCTTATATTCTGGGTTAAATTAAAACTTACTTAGATTCAAATTTGAAGGGGGGGGGAGGGGGGGGGGGTTGGGGTTCCTGGGTTGGCCCCTCCTGGGTGCCTCTGCTCTTGGGGTCCCTTTGGTCTTCTGGGGCTTTGGGTCCCCTGGCTCTGGCCTCAGTGCTCTGGGGGGGCGCCTCTTCGGCTCTTCACAACCACTGTTGAGCATTTTTCCTTTGGATAAACTTTACATGCACAAGTGCACTTTCACAAACAACTACAGGGGCTTGGTTCCAGGTACTTAGAGATTCACTTCCTTACAGAAAGTCCATATTCTTTTCTTCAGCTACTACAGTATACATGTCAGATTATATAATACTACTTATGCTTCAGCAATAGTTTCTAGGTGTTACTTTATTGTATGTCTCGTATCATGTCCGTTGGTTGTGGTGTTCTTTTACATCTCTTTGCAGATGATGAAGCAGACTGAAGATGTTTTATCCTTATCTCCCTTTTATCTCCTCTTTCTTTAATCTTTTATCCTTTTTCCCATTTTCCTTTCCTATTCTACTTACATTGCAGTGTTCATATAATCTGTAAAACTCCCTGCATGAATTATAATAAAGCAATTTATATACTTAAATCAAGCGGAACACTATAGCGATAGCCGTACTGCTCCACTTGTGAAAGTAAAATCTGCTGGGCTCTTTTTGGCATCAAGACAATTATCCTTATTGCCACATTGCCAGACAGGACACTGT